ATATATATATATATATATATATATATATATATATATATATATACATACATACATACATACATACATACATACATACATACATACATACATACATACATACATACATACATACATACATACATACATACATACATACATACATACATGCATGCATACATATACCATTCGGGGCTGTGGTAGCTTGGTGGTCAGTGCTGTGGTGTAGCAATCCTGAGGTTGACGGCTTGAGCCCCAGGTTGTGTCAGGAATGGAATCTGACTTAAATCAAATTGCCCAATCTTTCATGTGAGTTTGCTCACTGTGGTGACCCCAAAGAAGGGAATATCTGAAATAAACCGTTTGTACAGCTTAGCTTTTAAAGCTTTTTGTTGCCCCATCTGTCTTTTATTAGATGCGTTGCTGCTTTCCATCTATTATCTTTTACCTATTTCTCCCTTTTCGGGTAACAGACCTCACTAGTGCCCATACCCAGCCATCACTGTGTGAGAGGTGGGGTACTCCCTGGACTGGTCTCCAGTCCATCACAGGAACATATAGAGACAAAATAGACAAACAACCATTCACTCTCTCACTCACACCTATGGACAATTTAGAGTTCCCAATTAGTCTAATATGCATGCTTTTGGTCTGTGGGAGGAAATCGGAGTACCCACACATGGAGAGAACATGCAAGCTCCACCCGGAAAGGACCCCGACGGGATTTGATCCAGTGACTTTCTTGCTGAGAGGCGACAGCTCTACCAATTGTGTCACCGTTCTACAGTGTTGCTGACATAAAATTCAAAATTATCCGTTATTTTCTTAAAATTATACAATTTCTTAATTTGATCATTTAATAAATTTACTATGTTTGTGTGTGTGTGTGTGGTGGGGGAAGAGTGTATGAGCTTCGCAAATCAAAATGCTTACATTTTGCACAACATTCCTACTTTTTTCTGCATTGGGTCATACATCATTAGGTTAGTTCAGACCTTCCATACAAGTGTGAGGCAACTGCTCATCAAAAACACTGTTTCCAAAAATAAAACAAGAGGAACATCTGATCAACCAAACAAAGTTTTAATCAATCCTGGAGACTGTTGATTGTACTGTGCCATATAAAAGTGACAAATGAAATAAATCTGAAATGTCTTTTCTCCTCAGGGTTGGCATGTGAGGCTCCTTCCTCTCCTCAGTGCTTCAGACGAAATGAGGAAGAGTCTGTTTACATTTGCGAATGGGGCTTCCACACAATCAAGAGCGACGTGATGTTTGACCTTTACTTTAAGTGAGTCATGCTCAGAGCTGCAGATGCAAAAAGTCTTCTCAGTTCACTGAGATTGTTGTTTTGTGAATGTGCATTAAAACTGCAACGAAGTACGCAGCATCCAGCAAACCTGTATCAATTCACTAAGGAGATCGATGGCAGATCACCACCTCCTCCTGCTGCACAACACTGAAGCCAAATTTATTTATTTATTTATTTATTTATTTTTTCCCCTTTCACAAACACCTCCTTTCTCCGTGTGACACTAGGGGTCTGGGATGGAGGGGGTGGGGGCGCATTGTTGGGGTCTGGGCTGTGGGTGGGCTTTGGGCCTTGGGGGCGGTCAGTGATGGGGCCGGTGCTTCGGTTCCTCCTGGGCTGTTCCGATTCTTTTAATCTAGGTTCCTGGTTGCGATGGCCGGCACTTTGACCGGGGTGGCTGCTGGCTTTCGGCGGGGGGTCGGCTATGGTAGTGTACGTGTGGTCATTGGTGGTGTAGGGTGGCGGTTGAGGGCGTGGCTTCGCCTCATCAGGGCACTGGCTGGTCTTCCTGTGTGGCATTTGCGGTGGGGGTGCTGTGTGTGTGTGGGGGTGCATAGATGGCATGCTGGGGCGTCTCCGGGCCTATGGTGCGGGGCTCTTGATGTGAGGGTAGCCCTCCTCAGCTGCGGCTCCCTGCTGCTCTGCCCCTTGGGCTGGGGCTGGCCTGTGGTCGCTGTCAGGTAGATGGTGCATGCGGTCGGCCCGACAGAGATTCTGTCGGGCTATCTGTGTGTGCCTGTTGGTTGCTCAGGTTGGGTTTTTGGTGGTCCCCCCTCTCTTGGATCAATTTGGGCCCCACGTTTGGTGTGGGGCCCACTCCACCCGGTCGTGCCCCCCTTTGGCAGGGGACCCCCTTGCCGCCGATGCATTGGTGGCTTTCGGTGTCTGCGCTGGGTGGTGGGGTGCACGTCGGTCCGCCCTGGTTGCTGCCTGGCGGGGCCTGGGTGCCCTGGCTCTGTCGGGGCTCTGCCGGGGGGTGGTATGGCCTCGGGGCTTGGGGCTCGGTGTCCATGGCCGGATCTACTTGGGGGGGCATGGGTCGCCAGCCGGACCTGTGGGCTCGTCGCTGCAGCTTCCTGGAGGCTCTGCATTGTGGTGGCTGGGGTCACCCGGTTCTTTCCTCTGCTCCTCTCTGGGGGGGTGCGGTTCTCCCTGTTGGGAGACTCTTGGGGCTCCGGGCCTGTGGGCTGCTGTGTGTCTGTGGCTCCGGTCCTCCCTATGTTGCCATTGTGTCCTGGGGGGGTGGGTCTGTGGGCCCCCGCGTCCACTATTGGGCATTCTTTTGGAGAAATCTGGTGGTGGCGGGTGTGCTTGCGCGGGTGTTTGAATTCAGGTGCTTTGAAAAATGCATGCTAGGTTGGGTAGTGGTGGAAGCTAGATGATTCCTTGTGTGATGTCGAATGTTTCATGGTGATATTGTGGGTGGCATTGTGCTGTGAATGTTGTTTTGTCGTGGTGGTCTCTCGTTTTATCTATTTCTCTTTTATTATTTATTTACTCTTCCTTCTTCTCTTTCTTTAAAAAAAAAATTGAGTGATGATGATAAGTTCATTGAAACACTTCACAATGTTTCTACACTTAAACTGAGATAAAAAAAATAAATAAAAAGTCTTCTCAGTTCACTGAGATTGTTGTTTTGTGAATGTGCATTAAAACTGCAACGAAGTACGCAGCATCCAGCAAACCTGTATCAATTCACTAAGGAGATCGATGGCAGATCACCACCTCCTCCTGCTGCACAACACTGAAGCCAAACTAATGCAGAACTTTGTCATGTTGGTAGTAAAGGTAGTCAGAGTGCACGATTTGGTAACTTCAAACATTAATTCAATTGCACGGCTATGAATGGGAATTAATCATTTAGACTTAGAGAATATGCACTCACTATAATCAAGTCTTATTTGTTGTGGATAAATCCGAATAAATCATGAACAAGTGATAGTAGCAAGTGAAAAGGTGAAAATGAGAGTAATATTATTTGTATGAACATCCTGTTCTGTATATTAATTTAGTTGGAAAATCTAATAATGAAATGTCATGATTTCATTATTTTAAAGCCTTTTTATGGCTGTTTTATCCACACAACCAAAAAGAAACATCAATAAAAGAAAGTCATGCAATTTTACAGTAAATACTCATAAACTTTGCTGCAATTATGTTTTACTTTAAGCAGTTGTTGTTATTCTTTATCTCATGAGCAGAAACTACACCAAAAGTCCTTCCTCCCTATGGCTATCAAACTTTTCAACTCCTCCCCCTTTCTGCACAAAGGATAATAAAATTAATTCTGCACCACAATAAACACTTTTTTTTCCACATTAAAACATTTCACACATTAGACATTTCACACATGTCTGCACCTGACCTGTTTAAAACTTAATTGCTGGTATTTTTTATATTCTCTGTTATTTTATATATTCTCTATTATTTATTATATCTTGCGTGATTACTTGTGTATGTTCCTTTGTACTGAAACTCTGGCACAACAATTTCCTGCGGGATCAATAAAGTTTTATCTTATCATGTCATGTCGTGTCTTATCTTATCTTATCTTATCTTATATTATTGTATAGTATCGTATCGTATCATATCATATCACATCGTATTGTTTGTTTTGACTTGTAATCAATCAATCAATCAATCAATCAATCAATCAATATACTTTATTGATCCCAAAGTGAAATTTCATCAATAATAAATGTTGAAATGTGCAAAAATGTTAATCCAAGCTATGAACATTAAAAATGCTTTACTCTGTAGTAACAAAAGGACCCGTACGAGTCAAAAATCAGCTTTTGCATCAGTTTGTGATTAGTCAAAACTGCCACATAAATTGAGTTTGTTTATTTCTGTCACATGTATTGACCTATATTTTTCTCAGTAGTAACAGTAGCAACAGTAAAGCAACATTTGTGAACCTTAAGGAGAACCGCACGGAGATCATTGAGGAAAAACTGACTGTGGGTTATGAAGTTGACTTCTGGGTGGAAGCTCACGTTGGAAACTCGAGCTGCACGTCGCTCACGAGCTCCGGTGTACTGGTGCGCTCAGGTTGGTCTGCTGTCATATAGATGGACACTCGGGGTTAAGTTTCTAGCTTCAAGATCTGCTGTTTGACTCAGTTTCTGTTTGGTAACTCAAACAGTGTATTTGACTTTTATACTTATTTTGTTGTTCTGCTTTCTAATTTTTAGGGCAGTGTTGCAACTATAATTTATTATTATTTTACATATTTTATTTCTTCTTAACAGTTAAATATGATGCACCACAGAATATTTTGGTTTCCTGGTCAGGGAACAACCTCAGCCTAAGCTGGCCAGCTGCAGGGGAACATCCAGCTTTAGCCGAGGTCTGGTTTCGACAATATGAACACTCCACAGAATCATGGGACAAAGTAAGAGTCAGTTCTGATTCATCATTGGATCCAAATCAGAGTCAGTTAAAAAAATGACTAAAGTGTTTTTGGATTTTTTTTTTTACAGAAATTAATAAATACCACATATGAGGCTTCCATGTGTAAGTACTCAGTTATCATGTTTAATGTTTTGTGTGAGTGTTTATCTGTACTGTTAGCAAAATATCTCATGGCCCACTGGACAGATTTAAATTAAAAGTCCCTGCATTTGAGGAAACATTGTAAATAACCTTTTTTTTTTTTTTTATTTGAGCAGATAAGATCATTGTTGTGAATCTTGTGAAGCGCTCAGCTTACTGGGTTCAGATCAGACATCAGTCTACGAGGGCCCAAACCCCACTGTGGAGCAACTGGTCTCCAGTTATTATTGTCCCTGCAGGTAAACTCATGTCACCCATGGAAACACATTGACCAAAATGTCATTTTGTGTAGCTTTCATCTTTAAAACAGTCCCTCTGATTTGAAATGCTTATAAAATATACATGAATCACAACCACCTGTATTAAAATTGCTGACAATGCAAACAACTGTAACCAAATAGACACACCTTTTATTTTAGAGCCAGAATTTATGTGAGCATAGCAAATATGTCATTCTTTTTTTTATTTTTATTTTGTATGCATGAATATCTTGTAAAAACACAAAAAAACAGTGTTTTTTATACCTCCAACTTCTTGACAAATTATTTTTAAATGAGTGAAAATGTTTTTGAGGACAGTTAATGTAAGCAAATGAAGCTTTTCGAATAATTTTGTTAAATCTATATAGCTTTGATCAAATGTATTCAGCATAAATAAATAAAAGAGCCTAAAATGATGTTTGTGCTTGTATTTCAGAACTTGAACATAAGCCTGAAGTCACCAGTAAAACAAAACGTATTAATGGCACTCGAAAGGTGACTCTAACTTGGAAGGTAAGTCAGCGAAAAAAGACAAACCCCCTGCCCTCCCCAAAGAACAATACAATTTCACACCTGCTGGTCTAAATTTGTAACTTAAAACTGTGCACTAATTTCAACTGGAGCTTAATGATTTGACAGTTTTAATACGTGCAGTTAAGATACTGTTATTTAAAAAGCCAGCATTGTGCTGATGTTATTCCTTCATTCAGATTTTATTTCACAGAACTGAATCATATTATCAGTCCTCTTGCAAATAAACTGCATACCTGCATAATGTAACTTCATAATTTTACTCACTTTGAATGTAGATTCACGTGGATTATATTTAAAAACAAGTGAAAATAGACAATCCTATTTTTGATGGCTTCAGAATTGACATCAAAGTTGTGAAAAAGTTTTTTTTTTGTAGTACATTTTGTGTCTTCACAAATTTATTCAGCAAGGAGTTTGGCAAATATTAACAAATTTGATCTGGTAGAATATAAAGCAAATAAAATTGAAATTTTCTCTGTATTTTTGGTCTTTATTTCAAATGTGGTTTAGACGTTTCATAAAACAACATAAAAAAACAATATTATTCAAATTAAACCCTTTAACACTTTTAGCCTTAAAGAATCCAGTCAGCATGAGGAGTGAAAGGAAACTTTCTTCAAGAGTTTGCTCTAAGTTCACAAAATGTTGGCTTTAAACAAACATGCCCTTAATATTCCTGTCTGAGGGATGTTATGAGATTATTTTTAAGATTAGTGGCAGTTGTCACAATGTGATGTTTAGGCCCCCTAACATGAAAGATCAGCCAGATTGTAGATATCCAACAATGTTCAGTCAGGTAACATGTCATCTGAACAGTTTATTATTTTTTTTTGTTGAGAGACGTTTCACCCTCCATCCGAAGGGCTTCATCAGTCTGATGAGTCACAAACAAACTGTTTTTCCCCACCAAGCAGTACACGTTACAATGGACCAACCAGTTTGCTGGTGATAACCCTTTGGATGGAGGGTGAAACGTCTCTCAACAAAAGAAGAAACTGTCCAGATGACATGACTGAACATTGTTGGATTTCTTTACCTGGACTATTGAGCATGAACTTTGACAGATTGTGGATGGTTTTTGCAAGGTTTTGGCGAGATCATCATTTATTAAGCGCACAGGGGACTTCCTGTCATGTATGACAGAGCGTGAACAAGCCATGATTTAAACTTTAAAGTTTAAACCATGAACATAACTTTTGTATCATGTTCGCCTCAAGTTCAACAAGTGTCAACAATTCACAGGATGGCGAGATGGGCCATGTGACCTTAAATACACTAATATTGTATGGTTATAACAAGAACAGTTCTTTAAAGCCTGGATCTCCCAATCCACAATCAGAACTGAAGAAGCCTTTTGGTTGGAAAATAAAACAAAAGATCAAGAGAATGAAGAGAAGTCCTGCTGCCTTTGATTGAACGACTTGGGACATATGTGCTTATATCTCTTAATTTACCTTTTTTCTGTTTTCTAAAGGTGTATTCATACAACCCTAATAAAAATGGGAAAATGTATGCTACATATACCTGAATTATTGAGCATGAATTTTTGTATTTTGAACCACTTTGGCATGACCATCTCAGAGGAGTTGACGGGGAGAGAGCAGGCCCCAGAGGCCATCTTAGCACCAGCAAATTGTTTTTTTCCACTATGGAGTATGCTGTTTGTAGGAATCAATTGTGCTTGTTGGTAGCTCCTCAGATTAAAGAACTCCTTTGGATGAAGGACGAAACTTCTCAGTTTAAAAAAAAAAAAAAGAAATCATCCAGATGACCTGACTGAACATTGTTGGATTTTATACCTGGATTGTTTAGCATGAACTTTGGTGTATGCTACATATTACAACGGTATGGTTTTGTAGTGGAAGAGTCCAGGTGCTAAACTGACCTGCCTGCAATCCAGACCGCTCACCAATGAAAAACATTTGACACTTTAAAACAACAACAAAAAAAAAATCCAGTAAAATAAATCCAGAAATGTTGAGAAGTTAATCCAACATCAAAGGATGGAACAAAATCCCCCCAAAAAACTCTAGCAACTGGACTTTTTTTTTATTATAAGAATATGGGACGCTTTCTAGTCTTAAACATGGCCCTGTCCTAACATATTTAAAAAAAAAAAAAATTAAAAATGACGTTATTTTTTCAAATTTATTTACATTTTACCTAACTTGAAACTGGGGTTGTACTCTCTATAGGGAAATATTTGCATATGTTGTTCTTTTGCATATAAAATGTGAATTGAACTTCTGTTTTGTAGCCTACACCACATGCAGCTACACCCAATGGTGTGAATTACAGTGTGAATGACACACATTCGTCTCGTGGATGTCCGTGTAAGAGGAAGAGCCATGAAACCAGCACAAACAGTTACACAGTTTACGTGTCGTACTCAGCCGTCAACATCACTGTTACTGCCAGAAATGCAGCGGGGGAGTCACCTCGGGCGATCATACAAGTGCCTGCTGCATCTGCAGCAAATTTAAAAAGTAGGTCTAAGAGTGCACATGTATGAGAGTGTTTTTATGTGTCAGATCAAGTTTATTTCCTTAAGCAAACCACAGGCTTTGAAAAAAAAAAAATGTCCTTCCTCTGTGCCAGTTTGTGACAAAATGTTAATGGATGAAAAAATAAAGAAGAGAACTTGCCTTGAGTTTTACGAGCTCCGAGACGCAGATTTAAAGCCTGAAAGTGTGATGACACTAACAGCAAGGAGACAAAGAAAAGAAAAACAGACAATAAACAAGAGTAAGCTATAATATAATTCTCTAAAAGTATGAAAATTTGTGACATAAATATTATTTATCACACCGAGGGCCAAAACACACATTCTGTTTTTGTTGCAGACATGAAGGATTTCACACGATACCTTTACTTTGAACACAGATGTGATGATGGCAAACCACAGACGGTTAAAATGTGCCTTTTTTACAAGAAAGAAGGAGGTGGGTATCTGCAGAGAGCTGCCTGGGGTCACTGACTTTAACTTTTCACATAAACTCTTTTAATATTTTTGTTCAAGTTTCATAACAGGATTCTGCTTGATGATACAACAGCTCACAGAACTTCAACGTTTAACCAAAAAACTAATTAAAGCGGCATGCCAAACGTCTTGTCCATGATTTTCAAAATTTTCACAGATATCTTTACTTTTATTGTTTGCAGGAGTGGGTTTTACAGCTTTTATTTTATTTTTTTTCTACTTTTTTGTTTTAGTTGAATTAATAACTGGATTATTTTTACATTTTATTTTCTACAAATATAATATCTGGATTATTTTTACATTTTATTTTCTACAAATAACGCCGTTCAGTTAGTTTTGCCGCCTGTTTTGCTGCTGAAACACTGAAAAACTTTCTTTCAAACAAACTGACCTGAACCTGTTTGCCTCCAAAAACTTCATGCCTGATAGTTTTTGATATTTTTATTCTTTTTCGTTTGCAACAAACTAATGCACATCATCCAGAGAGCTCAGCTTTTGTTCAGTCTGATGAAATCTCTTAAAAACTGGGGTTCATCCATAACAAAATGCTAATTTTCAGCCTTTTTATGTTTTTTTGATGGTTTTGTTTTCACACAGTCAGCATCAATTCACATGGCAGTTTTCTGTCGTTCTCATGTGACGAGATTACTCTGAGCAGCGTCACACTGTAGCCTCGTCTATTTTAATGTAGTTTCTGCTGTAAAAGAAACACGAGTTTCATTGTCTGACGCAGTGCCAAACAAAGAACCGGATGACTTCACTGTTGTTGCTGAAACACACAACTCTGCTTCCCTGTCCTGGAAGGCGATTTCACACGAGCACCAGCGAGGCTTCCTTACACACTACAACCTGTGCAGCGAGAAAATCAGTCCACAGGATGGGAAGAAAGGTACAAAAGTAGTTATTTAAAATGCGTTTGTAACCTTTCTTTACAGCTGTTAACATAGAAAATGAATCTTGCAGACATTGTTCATTTGTCTTCATCTCCTTTGATCAGAGTGCTTCAACGTATCTGCATCAGCGACAAAACACCATCTGAAAGATTTGACGCCGGGAGCCAAATACAGCATCAGTCTGGCTGGAGTGACACGAGCAGGAGAAGGACGTTCAGCAACACAAACCATCACCACATTACCAGAGAAACCTGCAAATGGTATTGGACTTATAAAATCTGTTATTGTGTCTAAACATGATTTAAAGTTCATCAGAATCAAAAGATTATTCGTTTGCCATATTTTTCTCACTTTTTTGTCTCTTTCTCCCTAAAATCAGTGTGGCTGAGTTTTGGATTGCTACTTGCGTTCTTCTTACTGTCAACATGTTGCACAGTTGTCTTAAAGAGGTAAAACAACACCTTCTGTTTTAGTATTTTATGCTTAAAAAGATTGAACTGTGTTGGACGGGGATGAACATAAACCGACACACATCAGTTACTTTGTCGGATCTGTAATTTATTTCCATCATTTTGAACTGTCCACTACTGTAGTTAGTTGTCAACTCAATCTTTTCCACTTTTTTTGTTGTTTTTGTTTTCAGCTATGCATCACTACTGTCTTTATAAGGCTTTTAGCTTTTTTTGTGTGTGTGTGTACGTTTTACTGTTGTTGCATTGTAAATTAGTGCAATGTCAGCAGTATTCAATATCATGTCACATATAGCTTCTATTTAATTATCTGTATGCATGTAATAACATGATAGTTATAATTTCCCTTTATTTTTATAATGCATATTTTCTGTAAAAATATGCAGTTATTGTTTAAATTTACGTGGTAATTTGCACTGCAATGTGATTAAAGCTCAGTTTGCATATCTTGCTTTTATGTGAACATTGTCTGCTTTTTTCCCCAACACTTAGAATAAAAAATAAGATCTTCCCTCCTGTGCCGATACCTGTGATCCCGGACTTTATCCCCCGTCAGCCAGAGAGTGAGGTAAGAAACCGCATCCAAAATCAAACTTTTCTTTCACTGACTTTGCACTTGCACTCCTCATGCATGAGTTTAGGTGGGCATCTTGTTCATGTATGATGGTTAGGGAGCAGTTGGATCAATGTATCGGGGCTTCGTCTTCAGTAATGAGGGCGCTGCTTTGGTCGGTTATGGTGGAAAAAGGGATGAGTTGAAAGGCAAAGCTCTCGGTTTATTGTTCAGTGTATGCTCTAACTCTCACCTATAGTCATGAGGAATAGATCATGACTGAAAGAATGATCCTAGATACATAGAAGCTGCATCCATGGGGGAGCTCGGAGTACAGCTGCTGCTCCTTTGCATCGAAAGGAGTCAACTGAGGTGGTTTGGGTTAGGATGCCTCCATGGACACCTCTCTTTGGGAGTTTTCCGGGCACATTGCACTGGTGAGAAGCTTCATGGTAGAACCAGAACTCACTGGAGAAATTCTGCATGATTTTCAGCCTGGGAATGCCTCTTCCCCCCCCCCCCCCCCCCCCCCCACCCCCCCCCCCCCCCACCTCACCACCC